TATAAATAATATTATGAGCTATTTAAAATTGCTTATCTTAACATCAAAAACATAACTTTCCCACCAACCTAATGAAAATGCATCAAAAAATAAACATTTTGTTCAATTTGCAATTATTGAAAAATTGAATCTCTAATTTCAAGTGATCAAATATTCAATTTATTCGATATAATTTATCTCGAAGCTCATATTTTCGCTTTTTCAGACTTGATACAGTACGGTTCAAGTACCACTTAACGATTATTGTTATCAATATTCGATATCACATAAAAAGTCTGTTTATAAAAAAAGCTATAGAATCACATTTCAAATTCAAATATTTGTGACTTGCAACGAAATGATAAAAAATAAAAAAGAAATTCTACCTTGATCAATAACATGTTTTAATCGTTCAAAATAGAAAGAAATCAGACGAATAATGCTGCCCTCTTTAGTTAAAATCCTTTATCTAATATTTCAAGAAATTTAAAGAAATTTTTATCATTTTATTTTTTTTTTTTTTATGTTTAATACAACAATAAAAAAATATTTTTACAAATTTTATATTTTCTAAATTTACATAAAAAATAAAAGAAACTTTGAAATTTCGTATATTTATACGTATATTTTAACATATCTTAAAAGAAAAAATTGTCAGATAAATTATCTTAACTATAGAGGGCAAAATGATTTCGAGCACGAACCAAAGGAAGCTTATTTTCGTAAGATTCATATAAACGTACGGGAGATTAATTATTAGGTTACGCTGGTTAATTATGTCGCGAAAAGTTTATTTCTGTAGTAGGGGCTTGCGTAATCGTGTAGACGGACGTGCAACGGAAACGGTACTTAAGCGTGTAACGTGAACTAATGTTGGAACCCCGCGTGTTCGAGAGCACTTGTCGTTAGCACTTTATATAGGTTTCTTCGAAATATCTTGAAACCTATACACATTTACACTTCACACACACGTCATATATACATATACATATACACATTATGCACACATACATACGATACATACACACGATGACCAAACCGATTCGCGAGCTTGAGAACATGCGATCATGCATAATTGATCAACAAAATGGCACAAAAGAAATGTGATTTATAAATTTTTCAAACTGTTATGATCTCGTTTTTCAAATTTCAATATAAAAATAATTGCCAAGTAAAAGGAAAAAGAAGAAATGGAAGAGAAAGAAAAAGAAACATGTAAAATGTGTTGCATCCTGCTCAAAAGTTATAAATAAATAAAAAAAAATGAAAAATTGATATTTATCTTCTTTTATGTTTGTTAAAAGCAACATTATCAAAAGTTTGAAATGATTAACATGTTCCATAAACTTCAAGCATTTAAGAAATAAATAAGTTAGAAAATTTTTTTATCGAAAATAGATTTAAATAAATCAAATTATTCATATTTGTTATTTTAATTTCCAATTAATAGCAAAATTAGAAGAAAATAGAATGTGAAAAAAGAAACGATTTCACGTAGTTTAAGTAATTTCAAATTTTTGATTGGTGATAGGTGTTTGACAGTTTCGATCAGGATGCAAATCATTATATAGTATTTTAGTCGAATGAAGACACATAAACATATCATACATAACATAAAATACGCGGTTGGATCGCGTTATGTCACATTCGATCATTTAGATTCGATTGTTTAAAAGATTAAGAAATAAAAGTACGGGCTGTGAATAATGCACTTTCCTTATGAAGTCAGAAATCTCACGAAACCAAATACGAGGACGAACACGATAGAATGACGTTAATATAATTAAATATATTCTTTGCGTGCTATCTCACGTCGATAGAATAAAATATTGGATATTAGAAGAACAAGTTTCGGAAATTAATACATACACGCACACACACACACGGTCTTTTATATCGGTAAGTATATCCTTTAATCGTTGCTCCTACTGATCAAATTTCAAACGGTGTTACACTAGTGAACTGATCGACATTGCTCGTTTTCATGGTTATCAAATATCGAACGCTCTTTCCTCTACCATGTTCTTATTACAGTGACTTACATTTATATTCAGACACTATAGTATGCAAAAAATTATTGCTCCATATATATATATTTCTAATAGTGTTATTAAATTGATTGTTTTTATAATATTAATTCTTCAAAATTAATAGAAATAAAAATTTTCTAATCTTGCGTAGACAACTATATTTTTTTTTAACTTCATAAATCTTTAGTCTTTAGTCGAGCCTGTTTTTTTATAAATTTTGAAAAAATTTGAAATATTTATTAAACTCTTTAATTTAGTACAAATAATCATTAAATTTTTTAAAAGAAAATTTTTCAGTTTCATTTAAGACAAAAAAATTTTATTTAAAATTTTCCCTCTATTCTTAGCAACTCAAGTTGTTTATAGAGGATTAATAAACATGTAATTTTTATACAATAAAATTTAAGCGATAAAATTTAAAATCACAAAAATATTGGAATACGATAATTGCTGTAATAATCGCTGTAATAAATTATTGGTTAAATTTTTAATCAATGTATAATGTTTGTAAACATAAATATAAAATTTATACAACTTGTTCATTATCCGAATATTTTTATGATATTAAATTTTATTATTTAATTTACTATGCAAAAACTATGTGCATTAAATAAATGAAATTTATATTTCTATGTATAGTACTAACTAATACTAACTATTTCAATTTATTAAAAGATAATCGATTCAATAACGCTATTTTTAAACAAATGTACTCACTGTATATTGAACAAGCTCATTAAAATTGATGAAATTTAAAGAAGAATGATATAAATAAACATCGCAAGTCGAAGAGATTTCTTTATAATAAGAATTCTACCAGATATTACCATTATCGAATAATCGATAATATATTAACAATAAACGATTAAGATAAACAAGCGGAAGATTCAAAGATGCCGGGATACGTCGATGAAATTAATCAATTCGTTACAAACGAAAATCTTTTTTTATTAATGATTATTATCATTATTGTTATTACTATTACTATTACTATTCTACTATACTTACTACTATTATTACTACTACTTATACTGCTGCTGCTGCTACTACTATTATTACTATTACTATTACTACTTATACTACAATTATTGGTGCTAGCTACTACTATTTTCTATTTTGTTTCGATCGTTGTTCCCTCTAAATCAGTGTTTCCCAATTTGTAAATTTTATATAATTATTTACATAAAAAATTTCATAATAAAAATTTTCAATATTTATTTATTTCAATATATTTATGAAAATACAATAAATTACATGAATAAATTACACAATTAATCATGTGGACACAAAATTATTAAAAATTCATCATGATCATATGATATTTTAAATATCATAATGGTGTAAGTCACATATACAATATATAATATTTTCAAAAACTGACTCAATTCTGCTATTGGTTTTGTGTATCTAGTGATTTAAAAATAATTTATATTATAAAATATATAATATTTCATTTTTTATTAGCTTAATTCACTATGATTTTCATCTCTCAATATATGATATGATAAAATATGAAATATTTTATATTTGTTATAACACAGATATTTAATACTTCACTGATATTTTTACTGGACCTTGTGTGTGTGTGCGTACGATTCATCTCTAAAAATAAAATGTTATATTTATATTATCTTGTTAATAATAATATATTTTTAATTTTTTTCGCAATAAAATCGCAATTTATTTAATTGTTATGAAAAGAGATCGTGTCTCAAAATCACTTTGGGAAACACTGCTCTAAATGATTCTTCGTTGAGCGATGAATTTTATACTCGCCTCGGGTGGCGATATCAGCATATCGTAAGAAAATGAATATTTTCGTAGGCAAATACGTTGATAAATATAAGGATAAATACAAATTTTTATTCGTTGAACGTTTAATCCATGTTTGATTGCTATGCGCAATTTTCTCTTTATGCGTAAATTTACAAAAGGCACGACGATTGAAACGAAGAGAGTAGCGTAAACAGGTGATATTTAAGTGTTTATACGATTGTATATACGGACACGATTATAATAATCTGTCGCTTATACCGAAATATTAAGATATTAAGATATTAAGGTAGTCGAACACGAGGATCATTCGTTCGATACCTCTTGTTAATTTGAACAATATCGAGGAGAAACGAAAAATAAAAAAGGATTATAAGGAGCAGAAAGATCCTCGTGTACGCGATACACGATATCTTTGAAATTTATTGAAGGATTTAGAACTTTTTCACAAGTTACGCTCGTAATGTATCGAAATAATAAATCTGTTAAAGCTTCCTCCTAATTCCAACACGTTTCGTTTCATCGAATATTTTTTCTTTTTTTTAGAAATTACACAGGATAAACGGTCCAAACATCGTAAAATCAATAATATTTTTTTAAAATTTTTTTTAAAAAATTTTTTAAAAAATTTTTTAAAAAGAACATAAAATAATTAAATACATATACTTATACATATTAAGATAAAGTTCAATTTTTTATTTAATTGGATAAATCATTAACATCAGTAATTTTTTTAAGATGAAGAACTTAACTTTTTTTAAGATAAGAAAATATTTATTAAAATTATCGTTGTTTAAAGTTAACGTAAACGTTAATTATATTTGTACTAATAAAAAGAATAGTTAAACAAAAACTAATAAAATAGATAAAACTTTAATTGCATTAAGGAAAAAAATGTTATAAGTGTCAAAAATATTTTATATTATACTTTTATATTATAAATGTTTCCAATGAATATGACAAAGATTTTTTTTTTTTTATATTTCAATTATTCTTTTATTTATATTATTTTTAACACTTTTTTCAGAAAATATAACAAATATAGAAAAATAATTAATAATCATCTGTTCAGAAATATAATGCAAAAACGATTAAGAACTATTTTCAAATTATTTAAATAATTATTAAATGAATTTCAATGGGGCATTTACTCTATTTTTAGTTTAAATAAAATAGATATAGATATCTAATAGAATATAGAAGATATCTAAAATAAAGTTTTTTTTTTACGAAGATTTCGCATTTTGTTGAATTTTTGCATTTTCCCTTTCTTGAATAACTTCCTCAACAATGCTTTTCATATCCTTAATGGTGAATTTGGAAACATTGGCTAACAATCGATTTATGAATTCATGATTTAAAAACCGATGCGCCAAAACGATATTCTTCTCGTGATTAAGCTCCTTGTCTCTTAATTCTTCAAATACGCTAGCTAATTTTTCATGTATTGATGGATATGGGCTGATAAATTCTGGTTGTAGCAGTAGATACCATGGCAAAGCTGCAGCCAGTACTGTCTGAAACAATAGAAACGAAAAATATTAATATTTTTTTATTAATTTTTATTAACCATTATTTTTTCAATAATCATATATTCAAAAAAATGAATGAGAGAGAGAATCTCACCAATTTCTAAAAGTTTGATTATTATTCTGAACTACTTTTTCTTGTAAGTGCACGATCTCATCTTCTGAGATATTAATAAAAAATATATTTCATGTATATATGTATTTCTAATATTTAGATTTGGATATTTAGATTTGGATTAAATATATAATATTGAATTGTTTGAAATAAATTTAGATTAGAGCTAAAATTTGGACTATTTCGGAATTGGGTTAGATTTAAAATAGATTTAAGTTAGTTAGCTTTAGATTAGATTTGAATTATTATTTAAATTAAATTTGGAATAGTTTTAGCTTATGTATGTCTTATTTTTTTTTTAATTCAATCTTTCGGCTAGAAAGAACCAACAGGTAAAATAAATAACATTTGTCAGTATTTGTAATCTATTTAAACATCTAACTATATCAACATGTATTAATATTATGTATTAAAATATTCCTAATTTTAAATAATGACAATACAATATAATTCTTAATTTGAATTATAATTATCTTATTGTTTGTTATTTAAATCTAATTCAAATATCAATTAAAATTGCATAATCAAAATACTTTTAACATTAAATATTTAATATTATATATTTTTTAAAAGTTTGAATAAGTTTAAGTAAAATATAGATTAGATGGGATTTACAACATTTGAGTTTTATTCTTAGCATTATACACAATTACATAGAATTAGATACATACTGTACATTCTAGGTCGATTATATTATATTTAATTTTGGTCAAGCCAAGATCAAGCCAAGATCAATTAATTCGAATTAAATCTAAATTCATTTACTTGGTAGCCAATTAGTTATTACAAAATAGTTAAATTATATTATATTTCATGTATTTTAATATTGTTTTTATATAACTATAAAAATTTAATAATATATAACGAAATATAGAAAATATGATTAAAAACATTTTGTCAGAAAATATATATATATGTACAAATATTTTTTGTAATCATTATATGCATTATTTATTTATTTAACAACTAAATTGATATGTTGCTTATATGTAAAATTGAGTGTAAAAAGAATACATATAATATGTTGGTTAAAAAATATTATACTAATAAAAAAAATATTTTTTCATTCATATTTTGATGTAGTCAAGATTATTGAAATTGAGTGAGATGTTTCATTTTTTTCAATAATTATAGTGATAAATAAGATTTTTATTACATAGAATATTTATATTACAATATTTATATACTAATATTATTTATTTTTAATGCTGAATTCTAATTTGCAATAGAATTTTATTTAGTTTTTATATATAATAATATTTTTCATCATTAATCATTAAAAATTGTTGAACTTCAAAGTTGCATAATTTTGTTCATATATATTAAAATCTTCTATTTTTCGATTCTTTTACCAATTTTATTTTTAGTCAATATTCAAAGAATAAACCCTTAAAAAAATTTTAAAAATATAATTTTAAAAATATATATTTAACACTTAGAATTTAGAAATATTCTTTCTTTTTAATTTTTTTCTTACATCATTGAAATTTTATATTCATATGATAACTGAAAAAAATCATTATTTTTAACAATCATTCGAATAAACATTAACTTTTATTTACCAACTTTAACTAGTTATTTTGGTTTCTAAAATCGATTCTTCGAAAAAATATTTCATACATGCATTAACAATCGCTATTATGCTATTATATAAAATATTAAAGCGTGCATTATTTAAAAATCAAGCGCGATAGAAACAAACAGATTGTATTGCATTTGAATTCAACATTAAGATTATTAAAATTATATATTAAATCTTATATATAACAAAAATTTTAATGAAGATCGATGTTATCATTTTTCATATATGCAAAGAGATTAAATTTCTTACGAGACAAAGGTCGAGAGAGATCCAATAAATGATCAGTTCCGAGAGTTCTGGCGGGGTCTCTATCTCGTTTTCTATCTCATTATCCTCAAATGCCTCTATTTCCTCGCCCTCAGGATCGACGGGTTCATCGAAATATTTAAAGGATGGAGGACTTTCTTCGTCGCAATACAAATCTCTCCGTTCGATTATCTTTTCGACTTTATTTAGGATATAATTGATTAGCAGTTTTGCTACCTGAAACGCATCAGTGAGGAAATATCATTGAAATTTTATTATTTATTTATTTATTACAATATATAATTGCTTCTAACTGAGATTTATATGAAATGAAAGGATGGTAAATTTAAAAAAAAAAATGACTATAGATGGAATAAAAAATTTGATTCGTAAAACTTCGATTTGAAAATTTAAATTTAAAATAAAATCCCGAAACTTTTGAATTTCAATGCTTAATTTTCTAAAATAATAAAAATAGTTTTTTTTTTCTAAAAAATATCTATCGAATATAAAAATTTTTAAAATTTCAGTAAATTTTTTAAATTCCTAAAACAGGTTTGTAAATGGTTAGCTTAATGGCAATGATATTAAATATACAGATAAAATTTTGCTCTTCATGGTTTCTAATATTAGTTTCTAATATTAGTTGTAATATTATATAATGTAATTTTTAATTTAATTTCTATAAATTACTAAATAAAAATTTATCAAATTAATAAAAAAAAATCAGCAAACAATGTTAATGTAATATAGCCAATGATCTCTATTTCCATCTCATTTCATCTAACATAAATTTTAATTATTTACAACTTAATAAATAATCCACCATGCTCTAACCTTTGTATTTATTTTGATCTTTAAAAAACTCTCCAAGTTATCTTTCATTATATGTCAATTTATAATATTAATAGTTATAAAGTTCACTTAATTGAGTCAAAAATGTTTTTTAATTCTCGAAAATATTTCGTGATACATACATAAGATTTCCGAAATTTCGAGAAATTAAAATTATATTTCGAGATAAACTTTGTTAAATAAAAATATTTGCAAACAAGTGAGCGTTTAACAAAACTTATCGCGAATCATGATCGAAATTCTTGAAATTCTTATATTCACGAACAAAATTTTGATGATTAAAGTTAAGAATAAATTATTTGAACAATTTATTATTCAAAACAGTAATAAATGTTATTCGAGCATTTTAATAAATAATAAAATAATTTTTAATTTTTGGAAATTTTAATTAATTAATTTTTCAGCCTGTTAACTCTGATCAGGAGATATTTTCGAAAATCCAAACTGATCCGAACTGACACGAATAATTCTCGATCTAACCCGATCTGATCCGAATTGACCCGACAATTCTCGATCCGAATATCCGAATATTTTTGTAGAAAAAGTTGAAAAATTAATTATTTAAAATAAAATTACTGTAAGTAATAACTTTATTTAAAATGCTGGAATAACATCTGTTCGTATAATTTCTGTAATTATTCTATATTATATTATATTTATATTTCAAAAATCTAATTTATTTTATGCTGATAATCTAATTTCACTTCATAATTTAGTAATAATAATTATTATTATAATTTCAATATTAATTATTTATATAATTTTAGATTTATTTTTAAATAAACTTTCAATTTTATTCTTATTAAAAAATCATAATATTGAAATTATTTGAACAATAATTTCCATTGTTATTTTATTAATCATTTGTTTTCCCTCATTAAAAATTTTATATTTAATCAACGAAATTATTAATCCATTTTTTTTCAATTAAATCAATTATTGATGATATTGATCTTATGAATATCCTGAATTTAATAATATTAAATTTGATAATATTCAATTTGTTAAAACCAACTTTCTATTTTTAACTTTTAACAGCTACGATTTCTCCTCATTTTTGTGCACTTCTAACAAAAGTGTTTCGAGATTTCGTTCCCAAAAAATCAACACCTACCTTGACAGCCTCTTCAATCTTAAGAAGAGTAGTGCCCAGATCATGGGCCAATTGTTTCTGCTGTAAAAGTTCCTTCACGTATTTCTCTCCCTCTTCCATATCGGTGCACACAGGATTCCCTATGGCGAGAGCGAGCGCCATGGCGAACCCATTCCGTGGATTCTTGTCCTTGCAAAAAGCCAACAGCAGCGCCGTGTAATTAATCAACTCACAATCGATCATGTACATTTGACCGAGCAAGTCTTTGGCCAATATTCGCCTGAGCGCCATCTCGGGATCCAGACACGACGCCTTCAGTGTATGCGGCATAATGTATGCCCTCTGTATGCCTTTCGAAAGTATAGAAATTTTATCAACGCCGAAGTGATAATATTCCTCCTCGTACATGTCCATTTTATCAATCTCCTCTCGAAGATGGGTCAAATTGATCAAGTTCTCCGTGCTCTCGAAAAACCAGAACGACGTCCTCTGGTACTGAGCTAAAGTCACGACTTCTTTCAATTCGTAATCCTGAATCCGCAAACGATCCCTCGTGATCAAGATTTCCCGGCAAGTCGGATACGGGATATCCATCGCGTAAATAAGGAATTCTCGCCAATCGATGTAATTCACGGATTTGAAGATTTTGTGGATCAAATTGGAGATATCTTCCGGATAAAGATCATACCATCTGCATGGAAGCATCATTGGTTCGCCCTCCTTGTGACAGACCATGTCTTGAAGAATGTAAACGAGGGTGCGCTCGCACATGATCCCGATCGGAGCCACTCGCTTGAACATGTCCATCAACCGGCTGAGCTTGGTTATACGGAATCGCATAGTCGGATGCTCTTTCAGTTTTTTCGGCTTTTCAGGCCTCACTTTCACCACGTACACGTTCGATTTGATTATGAACTTGTCGCCCCTCAATTCTATCTCCTTCTCGAGCATTTTACCCTCCTCGATCGCGAAACAGAACACGTTTATCATTTCGTTCACGCTCTTCATCTCTTGCCAATACCTAGACGCGCGTGTTTGAATTAAAAAATATATAGGTTAAGCATGTGTTATACTTTAATTAAAATATGTCATAATGATAAAAAAAGAATTTTTTTATCGTTCGAGAAATTGTTGAAACGGAATGAAATGAATCAGAAGATTCTTCTGATAAATTGTGTATTAGCGTGAAAATTCATAAATTTGAAACATGGAAGAAAAATCTAAATCTACTTTCAAAATTCGTTAAAAAACAGAAAGGATGAAATCAAAAATTATTTGCAAGATTCCTCTTTCTGTTAAGATTTGTAAATAAACGAAAATTCTCTTGTTTGAACGATCTTCTCTATTGGTTCAGAACAATTCATAAACTTGAAACATGGAACAAAAATCTAACTTTCGAAATTCGTTAAAAAACAGAAGAATGAAATCAAAAATTATTTGCAAGATTCCTCTTTCTGTTAAGATTTGTAAATAAACGAAAATTCTCTTGTTTGAACGATCTTCATTCCCTATTGGTTCAAAACAATTCATAAACTTGAAACATGGAACAAAAATCTAATTTTTGAAATTTGTTAAAAAACAGAAGAATGAAATCAAAAATTATTTACAAGATTCCTCTTTCTGTTAAGATTTGTAAATAAACGAAAATTCTCTTGTTTGAACGATCTTCACTTCCTATTGTTTCAAAACAATTCATAAACTTGAAACATGAAACAAAAATCTAACTTTTGAAATTTGTTAAAAAACAGAAGAATGAAATCAAAAATTATTTGCAAGATTCGTCTTTCTGTTAAGATTTATAAATAAACGAAAATTCTCTTGTTTGAACGATCTTCACTCCCTATTGGTTCAGAACAATTGTTGCTACTAACGATGATTGATAAAAAAAAAAGAAAAACAAACCTGTCTATGATAGCATCATAAATCCCATGAAACGTCCTCTGCATCGTGTTTATCAGAAAATCGAAATCCAACCGTGCCACGTTCTTTATCGACTCGAGTTTCTGCCGAACTCTTATGATCTCGTAATCACTCACGTATCGCCATTCCAAGAACAAATCCTGTATCCTCGACGTTACTTTCTCCGTATTACTTATCGACTCCACAGAATCGCTAAAAAATAAATCTTTCCCCTTGAACGCCGTTTGTTCCCTTTTAATCGTCTCCTGGACCGTCATATGCAACGTGTCCAGGATCTCCCTCACGTAAACGATATTCTTCATCAGCCCCTTAAACATACAGGTGTCCTCGACGTTCACGATCATTTTGTTCCTGTCAAGCAACACTTGGTTGATCTCCTTTTGGATGTCGAACCGACAGATGGCGATTGGAGATGGGTTGTTCTGCCCCTGCGATTCAGGTTTGAATTTCGATCGTTCCTTTTTCTTTCGATCGGTCAAGTTCTCCTCGTAGATCGGCGATTCCTCTTCGTTTTCCTCCTCGTCAAATTCTCTCGTCCCCACGTCGATCTTGTTAAGGATGACCTTCGAGACGCCCAACTCTCGCAACGGTTTCTTCAACATCCCTATGTAGTAATCTTGCAGCAGGTGTTGGGTGTCGATGCACCGGTCTATCTCGGTTTGAATGAGACCGATGAAAATGTCGTAGAGGATCACCGCCTCTTGTATAGCCCACTCGAAGCTCACGTATCGCTTCCGTTCCTCTTCGGCGACGTGTCTCCTATCGTCGCAAATTTCCCAGAGGTCGGCCTGGAATTAAAATCGAAACATGAGAAGAGAAGTAAACGAAACATGTTCCACATGATGCATGGACTGATCTCTGTTTCGTGATGATGAGATGGAAATTTAAGAATTTTATGAAGAGATACTTTTATTCTTTTTTTTTTTTTTAAAGAATAACATTGACCTTAAATCACCTTAAATCACCTTCATTGTGATTCAACTATAAGCTTTCAATTATAAGCGAATTAAATTGGGAATTGAGGAGAATTGAGTCAGTACTAGAGAGGATTTATATTAAAACAAATATTTAGATATATCTTTCTTGCATTATGATTCTCGAGTTATAACAAAATATGACTTACAAATGTGCTCTAATTATTGCATTATTAAAATCGTTTCGAATTAATATCGTATAAAGACTCAAAAGACTTTTAAAGACTTTGAAAGCAAAATTAATGAATTAATTATATTTTATGTGTTAGCTTTAACTCAATCTGAATTCATTGTCATATTCATTGCAAAATTAGAAGATGCCATATAATTTTGAATATTTTTATCTCTTTAAAATTTTATTTTTGACTAATTCAATAAGTAAACGAATAATATATAAATCATAAAATCTCTAAAAGAAACGTAGCTCGAATAGACATTTGCTTTATTTATGCTCAAATATAATAGCAACGAGTAAAGAATTTTGGCCAAATATAGAGTCTAATGTTAAAGATAAAGGATTGATTAAATTTCGAATCTTCGAAGAGTCGATTTTCGTCGACGTATCAAACCTATTTTATAATCCCAACAACTCTACCTGGAAATCGGCCACGCGACGATGCAGCTCGCATTTCACGTCCACCTCTTTCCGCGCATCCATATCGATCGAGTTGAACGCTTGTTGAAACTCGTATATCATGTCCTGCTTGTGATCCGGTCGTTTTATAAATTCCATCGCGTTTTTATGCAGAAAACTCGTGTACGGAATAATGTTCGACGAGTGAACGCTCTTGAGGTACAGTAACTCCTTCACTTCCTCCATATAGATGTCCTCCAAGATCTCCCACAGTTTGGCCATGTTCTGCAACAGCACCGAGGGAAGGGGAAAATTGACCCATTGCCAGTTCGGTTCGCCAGGTTTCGGTGGCTTCAAATCGAATTCCAGTTGAAATTCCTCGGACACGATCTCGTGCTTCATCTCCTCCTCCTCCTCCTCCTCCTCTTCCTCCTCCACGTCTTTGATAAGCTCGAGCTCTGCGAACTCCTCATCGGTAACGAGGCGTCGAACAACGGCCTCCTTCGTGATCGGGAGACGCTTTGGATCTTTTTTCAAGATCTCCAAAACGTCCCCGAATAATTCTTTGGACACCTTCCTCGGATGTCCGAGTATGAGCCTGGCCAATTTCTTCAAAGTGGGCAGATCGAAGCTCGAGTAATGAAAGACGTGAGCGATCTTGTGAAACGCGTAAAAACTATCGACAGGTGACGTTTCCTCGTCTATCTTCTCGTACGTTCGATGATCTTTCTCGAAGTCCCTCGGTTGTTGCTTCATTCGAATGAAAAGCGTTACGAACGTGTCTCTATATTCGTAAATTTGATCCAAAATTGAACTTGGTAATATTTTCGAATGTCTGTAAAATCGTGAACGAGAAAAGTTTCGTTATAGGATTCAGCGCAAAAAGTCAATTTTTACAGATCCCTATTTTATCGAACGCGTGTTAGGATAAATAAAATATAGAGCTATAATTTCTTTGTGCTATTTTTTTTTTCTTTTTATTTTTATTTGGCGAATAAAAATTGCCCTTCATAATAATATTTAAGCTATATTGAAATCTAAGTTTTTCAAATAAATTTTTTGAGATGTGGTAAATGAAAATTATTATTTTCATTGATTTTATGAGCTTGTTTAAAATATATTTTTTATCGGCAAATAATTTTTTTAATTCTCAATAAGTTTTTAATATTTATTAATATTATTAAAAATAAACTATTATATTATATTGTCTATTTAACTGATATAATATTTCTTCTACGTAACTTTATCATTTGCATATAATATGCATATAATATCAGATGCATATGAATAAATAGAATTCAATGATACAGTGCTAATAATTTTTTAAATAAGAAAGAAATAACGATACCGTTTAAAATATATTTCGTCATTAAAATCGACGAGGAAAAAGATTTTTTCATCCTAATGTTATTAATAGATAAAATTTATTTCAAATGACATAGAATTATTAGAGTATATAAATTTCATGTCAATATCACTCACTGTACCAAAATTTGACAAGATAAATTTCATCGAGTTTGACAAACATATCAGTAAATTTTTCGAATGAAATTGGAATGAAAATGGAATTCATTTCTTTTGTTATTAACCTTTGCATTACGTATGGATCAGATTTGTCCTCGAAAATGATTCTCGGTTTTATTATCTCGATGTCTTCAACGTTAATGTCCTTGATTTCGAGCTCTTTTGGGTTAGGAGGTGGACTTGTACCTACTAATGTCGTCTCCAACCACGACATTTGATCATACGAGTTTGGATAATCGATGAAAACCCAGCCTTTCGCATCCATCTTACTCTTTAAATACTCGATTATGATTTTGGTCCCAAGATCGTTCGTGATAGGTTCGCCCAACGTTAGAAACTCGTAGGCCCACTTACCTGCACACATATCAGAACGCGATCAAATGTATGAAATGGAAAAATTGGCCAGTTTTCATATATGAAATATAATTAACAAAGAGCGAATAAATTCTAAAATCTTGTTTGAAAGGTAAATTATTTGTTCAAATAATTTCAATAAAAATCAATATAAATATACTCAGATAATGTGCAACATAAAAATCATTACATCTTAAAATAAGCTACTTGAATAATTCGTTTGTTTCTTTGTAATAGAAGATGGAACTTAGATTTAGAAATAAAAATTTCATATATCAAGAATAATATATAATTATATAATTTCATATATAATATATAATTTCATATATCTAGAATAAAAGATAAAAAAAAAGAAAAACAAATATTAAAATTACGTATAATCGTTATTCGAATAATATTATTTAATCTTTTAACTCTCAATGTTATCAAATGTATCAAATTTGTAGATCAATATATAATACTTGTTATTCAAGCATAATTTCAAAATATTTTTCTTTTACATCGTTGCTTATATCGAACAACTCGATCGAGAAGTTGGTGCTCGTTCCGTTCGTTTATTTTTGATCGATCCGATCATTCGATACTTTTAATAACGCGACAATGTCGAATTCTAAGCAAGAAAAGAGAAACGAAAAAAAAAAAAAAAAAGAAAAGAGACCTACCTATATGCGCAGTATCTGTCAATATAGGATCTATATCGTCGTAAGGTATGTTCCTCGGTGTTTGCGTCTGCTTGTGCCTAGCATTCAATTCTTCTTCCTCGTGAATTTTGATCGAAGGCAATTTGTTGTCCTTCGCTTGTTTGCCGGTTTTCTTCGGATTTTTTTCTTCCGGCGTTATTATCGACACTTCATCGGCCCATCTCGAACGTTTAACATGTTTCATCGAGCATGGTTCCATTTGCACATCGATTAATTGCGTGGTCGCCAAGATTATATTCAAATCGATGTACTTGAAGTCGGCCATTTCTTTCTTGTACTGTTGCAGACAGTGATTGATCGCGTCGTCCATCCGCACCAATTGAAAATTGGATTGTTCGAGCAACATCGAAAGGGTCTCGTAAGCCTTCGAATCCTCCATCCCGAGAACGATCGAGATGTTCCTCATTTTGATCTTCAACCGTTTAGAAGGATCCGCGGGTCGAGCGTAAAGACCACCGAGAAGTCGATGCACGATGTATCCGAGCACCAAATGACCAAGTTTTAGAATTTCGTACGTTTTTTCATCGAGATCCGACAAAAGAAAATTCCAGGGCTCGTTTAATTCCATATAGTCGTCGAAGAGGGTCTCTTGCAGTATTTCAATCTTGGGTATATTTGGGTTTATTTTAGAGGAGGGGGAGGTATTAATTTTTGTTTACCTATTTTCTTTTTATCTATCGATAGCTTTTGGTGAAGGAGAATCCAAACAGTTTTAACTTTGTATTTTCTATCCAAGGAGTAAAGTTAATAAAAATATAATGATTTTTGAATATTGTAAATCGAGTGAATAGCAAATTTGATTTTCTTCTTTCTGAGACGTTGGTGATGCTTCATTTCTACATTTTATATTTTTTCGTACAGAGATATATAAATATATATATATATATATATTACATATATTATATATGTAAATTATTAAATTTTTACAAAATATTATGTTAATAAATTTTTATAATTATTTCAAAATGTGCATATAATATAATAATAAAGACAGAATTATCTCATTTAGTAACGGAAGAATAGAAATCTGCATTACCTGCAATCAATGAATCGGTTCAAAATATTTATTTCTGTAGGATATTTTATCGCCACCTAATACACGTTGAAACAAGAAAGTAAGAAAGTTATTGAAAACATATATGTATAAGAGAGTAAATTTTTTTTCCTTCACTGTAATCTGTAAAAAACACATATAATATATTTAATTGCTTTATCTTAATATTTTAAATATTAAAATCGGATTGGAATCGATCTTTTATAATTTTAATTTCAATTATAATATCAGAAAAAAAAATAAAGAAAGCAGTTGAGTATAGAAATTCTTTTTCTATTTAAACACTTCGTTAGTGATGTGTTTGTAAATGCATTATTATATATATAATATGAAAGATAATTAAATACAGAAATTTTTTTTTAGTTAAAATCTGTTTGTTATCATTACTATGTTATGTATTATATATATTATTATTATATTATATATATATAAATTTTTAAAATTAAAAACTGCTATTTTTCGATTCTGTTAATCAATTTCAAAATCTATCGATTGATAAGAAAAAAAAATAGATAAATATAAATGATCTCCTAGTATAAAAATAGTTTATTTCAATCTAACCTTGATATGTTTGCTCCAGTCGTCCGCTTTGATGAATGTTTCCAACTCGCGCTTCGAGGTATCTAGATCGAAAGGTACCTTTTTCTCGACGATCGGCTCAGATTTGAGAAATAGGCGCCTCCATTCGCTGATAAGCGTGAGTGGTACCTGGCCATTGTTCAATTGCCGATGTTCGCATATGTTGAACGCGATGATCAGCAAATCATCGATCACTTTTTGACAAAGTGACCAATGCTTCTTCCGTATTTTTTCTATCTTCATTTTGTGTAATCTTTGACGCAACTCGCACATTCTTTGACACTCGATTTTCATATCTTTCTCGTTCGCAGTGACCAGATCGATAGAACGATAGTGTTTCGCGCGATCCTCCATCTCGGTCGCGTGTAAAATGATATCCTCCACGACCCTTTGATTCTCGGCCATGATGTTCTTTTGCTCGCGTATCTCGCACAGTTTCGTCATGATTTGCTTCTCGTATCTACGGTGATTGAAATTCGGAACTTTTTGAAACCGTTTTGAATTTTTAAAATTGTGGAAATTCAATCACTTCGGAATGATTCTATGAATCTTTCTAAAAGGTCTTTTGATGATGATCTTAATTATAATTGTATTGAAAGTCTTGAAAGTTTGTTATTTGTTAAAATATTAAGAGATTCGGTAAATTTTTTATGAATATTCGATATCTTAAATGTATTAGTAATTATATTCAATGTAGAGGAGAAACTTCGATGAATCGACTATATCAAAAACAATCTCTTGAATAAACTTAAAGAGATTTTAACTATTGATCGTTATCATTTAAAAAATTATTGATTATTAAAAATGGAACATGTTATTAATGGTATTATTATTATTATAATAATTTTATTATTATTATATATTATATAATTATATAATTATTATTATTATATAATAATAAATAATTGTCTAAAGTATTTTATTATTTTTATTCGAGCATTGACATATTCATTGACATAAAATATTTTAAAAAAACTGAAGAAAAATTGGAATTATTACAAATAGATTCATTTATATTATTCATTTTTATAGTTTGGAGATATAATTTATTTGTAGATATATTTATGTAGAGAAAAAGAAAATAAAATAATATAGAAAAAGAAAATTTTATAAATTTCCAAATTATAATATATCCATAATTTAGTTAAAATTTATAAAAAAAAAATAATAATAAATTAAAATATGTTTCTTTGAATAAAATCTTGTTTACTAAATAAATATTTGACGATAATAGAAATCGTCGTCAATTGTAGAACATTTATCTGCTATAACTATGATATAACTATGATATATATCTCTACTATTATATTATATGTATATACAATAATATATGGAAAAATTTAAAAGGTCTTTAAAAACTCAATTAAGCAAAAGAAACATAAAAGTTAGTATACAAAAATTTCAATTGAGATTTATTTATTATAAAACAATTAAAGTTTGTGTTAAACGAAGCAAAATAAAGCTCTCTGTCTCTATTGTTTTATCATGATGCTTTATTTTTTTCGCTTCATCTAACACGAACTTAAATTGCTTATATAACTTAATAAATAAATTTCAATCGAATTTTCAGCATCCAAAATATTATGAATAGTAACATTGCTAAATAAATAAATAATAAGATCTCATTCGTGATTAAAAATTCCTTTTTTATTACTTCCTTGTTCAATTCGGCTTCAATTATTTGTGATTCAAATTGACAATGATAATATTTTGTACTTATTAATAAATAAACAGAATTGCTATATTTCCGTTTACTAAAGTGGTAATTTCCCCGTGACAATTTTCCGCAAAAGAATAATGCGATGCCACATTATCACATTAAGTATATTACGTGACCAAGTTTTTGCCAAGCATGGTGTCACGTGACATGCCTTTATAATGTAGCAGTAATAAGAAAAATGTAATCATCATCTAGCCATATTTTTTATTTATATATCAATTCATCAGATTTTTATTACGTCTTTTTACGATTTTTCAAAAACTTTATTGAATTTTTATTATATATTAATACTTATAAACGTATCCGAACTTCGTTTTCACGCAAGATGCAATCATTATTGGATAAACAATGGTATTTGATTTGAATATCGATAATGAAGAATTCAATTGAATCGAAAATACAAAATCGATATACATTTTGGTACAGAAATAATTGTTTATTTCATTCTGTGAAGGTTTAGATACATTTGGATTTAACTTCACACTTGAAAAAAAGTAGATTAGGAACAAAGACAATTGCAAAATTTTCAATTGATTGTCAACAACATTTGGCTTTTCTCTTTCTATTTTTTTCCGAATCAAGGTTAATTCAAAAGTTCTAAACCCCAATGTTTATATATCTGGTCCAATGGTTATACCTGATGGTATACAAAATGCTAATGAGAATTGCGATGATGTTTGAAGCCGCCTAGCGGCAGTAATTGATACTACGAATCGATTTGTTAATCGATCGCGATAACTTTTAAACATTTTTATATTATATTTAACATTCACGGAGTCTAACGTCATTTTAGGAGCAATAGAATTGTTATTTGTTATTTAACTTTAAATATAATCATTACTTTATGTCGCGTACAGGAAAAATATATCTATTTTGAATATTTTTGGTATTTTTAGAGATATGTGGAAAGATATAGTATGACAATAATAACTTTTTTTGGAGTGGAGAATTTTCAGAGATTTCAAATTTATTTATATTTGTTTTAAATTGAAATTTAAATTGAAACTAAATTGGAATCTTGATTTTTTATTATATATAATATAAAGAATTTTTAGAATTAAATAATTTCTATTGCATTTGATCATTTAATAATGAAAAAATAATTTGTTATAATTTAATATAAAGTTTATTTATTATTTTAAAAATCCTTTATATTTTTAATAATAAAAAATGGCATGCAATTTAAAAAAATAAAAATTGAAATCTAAAAACTCTATACTAACAAAAAAATTATTATTGTTACATTATACGTTTTTTGTGTTGTAATTTTTTCAGAAATTTTATCCAAATTATTAGAAATTCTTTTTTATAATATTAATATTCTTATCTATATTATTTATTTTCTTTTCTCTAATAAACTGTATAGAAATCAATTCAAATATATTTATATATAAATATTTTATTCTAAAAATATTTTAGTTCTAAAAATATTAAACACTAATCATTATTAAATCAATATTTTAGTGGCAAAATTTAAAATTCTTCAAAAAATGAAATTAATCAATTGTATTTCTGAATGATTCAAACATTAACATTCATAATATTAATTGTAATAATTTATACGTTATAAATTATTAAATTATGCAAAAAATTATACAAAAAATTATAAAATTATGCCAATTCTAACTTTCTTTTTAGATTTCTTTTAATTTCTTTTATTAATAATATTCATTAAACAAAATTGATAAAAATACTTAAGATATTGAATTTTCAAATAACGAATCTCTCAATATTTTTAAATGTGTCAAGACTGGTAATAATTCATTATTAAAAACCGAAACAAAAATTTTTGCCAAGTAAAAAGTTGCTTCAAAAGAAACTTCAACTATATTTTTATATTTTTTTAGACATCTTATAGATACAGAATACAGATTTAAACCAATTCGAGGTGTTTCAAATTCCATTACTATTCGTACCTTGATTGATCCAACACTCGTTTCGCTAGTTCCTCGTCGAAAGTTCTGTCTTGCTTCTCCGACATTCTTTCCCACAATTCCGAGATTATAGATTTCTGCATCTTCGATTTGAGAGCGGATGAAGTCAATTTTTGTTTCCTGCGATTCTTCAACCATTCGATGTACGATTTCGCCATATCAGGATCGTCCCCGATCGGTTTTAAATCTTCCTCAGATTCTTCCTCTTCCTTTTCCAATTTTTTTTTTGCAACTAAATGTTTCATAGTGAATTCATCCAATTCCTTGCTCTCGTTCTTTTGTTGATCCTCTTTTGTTGTCTAAGAGAGATCGAGATAATACGACAAATGACAATTTTTTTTTCCTTTTATCGTTCATATGCATTATTATTTTTGTGTAGAATCATAAAATTTTAATCTATAGTTTATGAAATGGAAAAAAGTAAGAATCGCTGTATTAAATTATAAATATAATAATATAATAAAAAAATTTAATTCAATAAGTATGGTTTGTAAATATTTAATTTACAAACTAGTAAACAGATTATTGTATAAAAATATATTGTACGCGGTCAAATTTTTTTAAAAATTTAAATTTAACACAATTAAATATCTAATATTAATTAAAAATATTTTAAAATAATTTAATGTTCCAATTTTATTTCGGAATATTATTAATCAAAATATATTTAACATTATTTATCCATATAACGTAAAATGAGAGGGGTAAGATGGTGAATATATTTTATAATATGTGTATTTTTCAATTATCAATCACAATATCACAAAATTACAATTAAAATTAAAATTATTATCTAATTTAATTATTAATAATTTAATAATTTAATTATTAATATTAAACACTAGTGATAATATTTAATTTTCAAAAAATTCAAAAAATTCTCACAAAATTATTTATTCACGTATAATTAATCGAAAAATAAAGATTATGCATCATAGAACAAATATTTAAAATATAATAATTTAACCAAATATCAAAGCACGTTCTCTTTGTTTTTAAAACAGAATTTTAAAACATGTACAATTATAATGTTAAAATAATATTTTTTCTATAAGAAACATTTATTTTTACTTTGTATCCTCATCTTACCCCGACACCCACAGAGACACAAAAAAAAAACTCGCGTAAGCATGAGTACCTGGACGCGAGACTCCTGTCACGCGAATCTTTCTATCTAGGGGCTGGTAGATACCTCGAAATCGGAACACGGCTCGTTTACGTATTTCGACTCCACGACTCCAATGTTTTTTTTTTTGATGTACGATCGAAGCATCTTTGGAACTTTTTGCTGATGCCAATAGATCACGTCCTTTCCTTTCACCAGTTTCTTCGACAATTTATTTTCCGATGGATGATAAGGTGGAGGATCCTCGCAAACTCTGATCACATCGAACTTCTTCGACGTGGGTACGAATTTCTCCCTTTCTTTTTGAAGCGTGATAAAGTGCAATCTGTCCTTGCTCTCGAGGCAAAGGTACACCTTGTAGAACAGGCGGAGAGACGTGCTCCCTTTGCCGCACGAGATCTCCTCGATTAAGTCCTCGTCCATATTGATAGTCACGAATCGTAGCCAAAAACTGAGATGTCTCAAATTGACTCGGCACAGGGCGGGATCTTGGGTGACGATGATCATGTCCAATTGATCTTGGGTTATTATGTCGTAGCTGTGCAAAATTTGAGCCAAAAGCGAGCCATCTCTGGTATAATAACCGAACACTTCGGGGCGTAGGTCCGTCAAGATTCCTAGCCTAGCTTGTATCCAATTTCGCAGAATATCGCCCATCCTTCTTTATTTAGTGCCTCGACCGCCTATCGACTCGTCCTTCTATCCTGGATAATTGGAAATATCCAGGTTTGTCATTTTCCAAACTTTTTCTCGCGATTATTTTATTGTATTGGTCGAAGTTGGTCACTGATCATCACGCGATCGATCGATTAATCGATATAATTGGTCACGATCGAGTTTCGTTTTTAATTCCTTTCAATTTACTCAGTTATGTTATACAATCGATTATAGATGATACATTAGAATGGAAAAAATCAAAATAATATTATTATTTTGTAATAGTGAAAAAAACTTTGTCTTTATTTTACTTAAATTTCGTATGTAAAATATAGCTTTAATAAAATTAATTTTTTAAATGCTATTATAATAAGAACTGTGAAATTTTTAGTTTTATTATTTCATCAATTTTTTCGTTTGTTTTATATTACAAATTTAATTACAATTTCTTCTCAAAATTACATTTTTCATATAATAAAAAATATAATTTGCTAAAAACAATTAAATTGCTATAAAAATTATTTAAATTACCGAATAGGAACTTATAAATAATCAATAAAAATAATCATTTCTAAATAAAAAAAATCTTTTTAATGAAATTTATTTTAAGAAATTTAAACATTATTAAAAAATAACTTTTGTTTACTAGAAATTATGAATAATAGAAAAGTATGTGTCTCTCTAATTGTTTTTCTATATTTTGTTCTAATATGTAATGAAATAATGCTATTTTTCTTATCTTTTTTCAACAAAGCAAAAATAGATTAAATAGATTTAATTCTTAAAATATCTTGAATTTATTTTTTTCTCTTTTTTCTTCTGAGATATTTATTTTATCAAGAATTAAATTTTGATCTTTAAAAACTTAAATTTGCAACTGCTAACACTATCCATTTATTTAACTTACAAAAAATTAAACTTTTATTTAAAAATTTATTTTTTCCTTGTCCTATAAACCAATATAATATTATAAATAAAAAATTTCTACAATCACGACATCCCTCAGAGACTATTTACAAATTATCTTTCATCTATGTTTCGAAAATTTTATCAAACACAAAACACTTTACGTTTCGTAAGATTTTGAGGTTATCATATCTCCGATCAAAATTTATCGACGAAAATATGAATGAATATATAAAAAACTCGTGCATATAAAAAGTGTGTATTCTTTATTATTTTTTATACTCCACTGCACATACACGAAGTTAATATTACAGGCCTATAGGTACAGACGGGTAAAGAAAATCTTGGTTTCTTCAGCTTTTTTTTATTCATTTTTTTTTTTTTCTCCCTTTCTTTTTTTCTTTTAAACCAACAGCATCGCTTGAGCATTGGTTCGGTTCTGCCAATAAATAACGACAGGATGATCGTGTGATTTACGTCTAGAAACGTGGTATTCGAAATTCGGAGGGGGGAGGGGAGGAAGTCCCGAGTGACGATCCCCTTTCTCTCGACGGTTCGATAAACGTGTTAAATAAAACGTGATCAATCATAGGAAAAAAAAAAAAACAAAACAAAGATCGCCAAGATTGCTTCCAATTGCTCGCGAGAATAAAAAAAGGGGGAATCCATCCTTGATGCATGAAAAAAAAAAAAGAAGAAACAAATATATATCGGCAAAAAAGAGTCGCCTCTCGGTCGTCGATCGGTCCGCAACAAAGTTATTGCATACCCGATGCGATTCGTCTTCCAGGACGCGTACGAGCGCGATTCTCTCCCATTCTCTCTCTCTCTCTCTCTCTCTTTTTCCTTTTTTCGATCCTTTACCAATCTCTTCTCTTTGATAAAAAAAAAAAAAAAATCGCACCTCGTACTCTCCATTGGACGTTCGCGAACCGTCTGGACAAAATTGCGTTAGGAACCCCTTGTTGCTCGCGTCAATCTACACCTACTTACAATTAAAGATCCGTGCACGCGCGGACTTAAAACATTGCTGCTCGACGGATACATGTCCCTCCCCTGCGATACTCGGCCGACGAGCACGCGAACGATACACGCCTCACTCGACGATCTTCCTCTGGGAGGAATTGATTATTTTTTCAACGCTACATACTCGACGCTTAATCAACATGCCCACACATTCACTCTTTCTCTCTCTCCCTTTCTCTCTCTCTTTCTCTCTCCCTTTCGCTCTCTCGCTCTCTCTCATCCGCGTTTAAGTGATCATCATAATCATAATCATCATCATCATCATCATCATCATTGTCGTCGTCATCGTCGTCGTCGTCGCAGCGATCATCGTAAGAAACCGTAATGACGAGATATATATATTATATATATATAATGATAATGTTAATAATCATAGCAATAATAGAAAATCACCTCGCTCGTCTTCGCTATAACGATCCTTCGTGTTCTATGAAATTGTATTTATAATATGTATATTACGGTACCGTCGGTATCATACCGTTACATCGTACATCATAATATAATTACATTACAGTTATATACCTGTTGTTGGTAATTCGCAATCGAATCGATCGATTCGCCATCGTTCGCAAAAAAAAAAAAAGAAAGGACGATACACAACACTCAAACTCGTGCTCGCTGTTTTCCCATATTATCCAATATGATTGCAACTGAACCGTTACGCGTTATTTTTGTTTGCCGTTCATTATATGTACAGAAGAGGTATACTCGACAATATCAATGCTTTTTATATTTATAATAATTTATGCGCTATTACAATGGGCACGAACTTATTTTTTTCCCCCTTCTTTTTCGTTATTTTTCGTTCACCGCTCCGTTGACTTCTCTCTTCTTTTTTTTCTTCTTCCATTGTGCGTTCCAATTACGATATTCGCTATTTTTCTTTCCATCGTTGAATCAATGCTGCTTCTTCGAATTGACGCTACGCGATATCGATTCGCCATGGATTCCGAACGCATTTCTATCATATCTTTTCTTCTCTCTCTTTTTACTTCTTTTCTTTTATCTTTTTATTGCTCCGAAAACTCGACTTTCGTCTCGCGGACGAGAAAGATCGATTTGGAAAAAGTCGCGAACGAAACGCAGCATGGAATAGGTTTGAGAACGAACAGCTCGAGGAAGCGATTTCTTCCTTTACACCCTCTTCTTTTTCCTTCTTTCTTTTCCCCTTCTTGCTCGACGAGAAACAAAAGGATCTTTTCTACCTAGACACTAGGTATATACACACAGTCCACGTGTCCTCGTTTCGAGGCGTATCTGGCATATCTAATACTACCATATCTAATACGAAGGAACGGGCTCAATAACTTCACCTAAAATTCTATGCCTAATTTTAATCTACGTATCTACTATGCTTCGTGTGTCTCGTGTGTTTTCGCCGTATCTCCCTTTATCTTTGCTTACTCCCTCTCTCTCTCTTTCTCTTTCTCTCGTTTTTCGCTATAGTTTCCTCTTCGTGCTTCATTATATATATGCCCACTTATTTACGTCCTTTGTGTTTGTGTATATGTATATATGTGTATGTGTATTTCGTATATGATGTTTTTCTCGATATTTTTCCAATGTAATATATTAGCGTATTTTCCACGCGATGCTTTTCGTTCGTATTCTCTTTCGCGGTTAGTCTCACACTCTCTTCAACTCGCTTTCCTCTCTCTCTCTCTCTCTCTCTCTCATTTTTATATACCATATGACAGTGTTTTTTTCTCATTGCACTCGATTTATTTCGCACTAAAGACTATATATATAAACTAACACGTTGCTATATGTAAACTACCTCACCGCTAATATATTTAGCAACATGGACATTGTTTATTTTTCTTATTTTTTTTTTTTTATTTTCTGTTACTCTTCTCCTAGCCCCGCCCATCGATTAAATCGTTTCAAAATACAATTTATCTTATGCCTCTTTCTCTATATGCCTCCTTTATCATATTTAACAAAAAGGATATTATTCACTCGTAATCATCGACTATTATTTTCCTTATCATTTCCCAGATTATATCATTATATCTCTCTCATTCTTCGTCTAACATTTTACTTTTCTCTCTCTCTTTTTCACTTACATACAGACACGCCAATTTCACTTTCTTCCCCTATTATTTTCGCTTTTCGGTAATCGCTTGCGTTGCCTATCTACGATCTATAGGTGGTAGGTCCACGACTCGAAACTCGGAAGGTTCGTTGCCAGATGTCTTAAAGATCGAGCGATCGCGATTGCCGAAGGACTCGAGTTTCCCTCGAAACGCGCAATACACGGTCACATCCGCGGAACCGGAAGTCCCACGGACGGAACTTCGTAGAGTCTCAAAGGCACGTCACTTTGTAGGTACCCGGTTTATTTTTATGCATCGTTTTCCTCTCGCGACAGGCAATGGACACGATTATCGTTTATTAAATTATCACTATAATTATTATTAATTATTATTAATAGCAATATTATTATTAATTATTATTATCATTATTATTATTCATTTTATTTTTATTATTACTCTTTTTATCAGTATTACCTTTTTTTTTTACCGTTAGTAATAGTAGAGTAATTAGTAGTAATCGTTATCGTTATATCATTATTCATAGTATTAGCATTAGAGTTAATACTAAGGTAAACGTTCATTATCGTTCAATCGTTATCATTATTATTATTATTATTATTGTTATCATTATTATTGTGATTATTACGATTTCCCTTTGTCGGCTGGTTGCTTTTTTTTTCGTTTTTTTTTATTTAATTCGACATTTTACATGTTTTTGTCGTCTCTGATTACCGATATTGCGCGTTCTAAGGTCGCTCCAAGTTTTTCTTGCTGGATGTGCAAAGATCGTATACGAGGGTATCGCGTTCAATGACGTCGTTTCCCGTGTATAATATGATTATCTCCCTACATGAGAAATGGCTCTTTCGATTGCATCTACTACCCTATTAAAAATTGTTTTAACGGGTATTATTTTCTTTCGTCTAGCGCTCGTCTTTTATTATATCCGTTAATCCTCGAACTACGCAAAGTACGATGGCTGCGTCAACAGTGACCTACATCAAACTTATCTAATTAACGTTATCGCCGATC